ATATGGCTATATTCTGTTACCAAACTTGAAATGGCAGGTGTGAAAATGAGGTTAGGTGAGGTAAGCACATCTGGCTGTTTGGGCATGTTTGACTGGCATCTTCTCAGGAACAGACAGAGTTATGATGCTCACCAGACTGTGTAGCTCATGGCCCACAGCCGTATGCCCCAAGTGAAAACTCTATGGTATAATATTATATAATCTTAATCTTTGTTCATCTTACAAAACATGAGATTAGGACTAGAATCGGGAGAGGGTATTTTTAGATTTAATACAGAACACTTTTTTAGATAATTGGGGGAGGGTGAAGTCCTCAACAGCAACATACCTGTAAAATGAGCATGTCCTGACGCAGATCATCACCGTGTTTAAAGATAATTCCAATTGTTTCATTTGATAGGGCTGTAGGGTCAGCACATTTAAACTCAAGCCACAGGGGCTTTTTCTTGGAAGCCATCACTTTACATTTTTCAATCTGTAAGAAAGTGGTCATGTCTTTTGCACATAATGAATACACATTGTGGAGACACAAATCTTTGTGTAAACCATCACTATATACAAGCAGGACAAAGTTCTAGTTGGAAAACTATTTTCAGTGATTTGTAACTTAAATACATTGCTGGTGGGAATATAAAAATGGTATAAACTCATAAGCTTGCCGTCTGACCCAGCTATTGTACTACTAAGTATCTGCTGAAAGGGTCAATGAAAACAAATTGTTGTGTATTCATTGAAGAGAATATTTGCTGTTGTTAGGTGCCTTTGAGTCATTTCCGACTCATAGTGACTTCGTGTATAATCAACGACATGGTGCCTTGTCCTGCACCATCTTGTCCATTGTTGCAGCCACTGTGCCAATCCATGCCATTGCAGGGCTCTCTCTTTTTTGCTGACCCTCTACTTTACAAAGCATGGTGTATTTCTTCAGGGATAGGTCCCTCCTGATAATATGTTCAAAGTAAGTGAAACAAAGTCTCACCATTCTCACTTTAAAGGAGCATTCTGGCTGTACTTCCTCCAAGACAGACTTATTTGTTCTGACAGTTCATAGCACATTCAATACTCGTCTCCAACACCACAACTCAAACACATCAATTCTTCTTTGTTCTTCCTTTTACACTCTCCAGATTTTGCATGCATATGAGGTACATGAAAATACCATGCTTGGGTCAGGTGTACCTTAGTCTTCAAAGTGACATCTTTGCTTTTTAATAAAGAAGTCCTTTGCAGCACATTAGCCCAATGCAATATGTTGCTTGATTTCTTGACTGCTGCTTCCATGGGCATTGATTACTGATCCAAGAAGAATGAAATTCTTGACAACTTCAGTTTCTTTGCCATTTATCATGTTGTTGTTTCTGGTCCAGTTGTAGGGATTTGCATATTCTTTATGTTCACATGTAGTCCACACTGAAGGCTGTGGTCTTTTTACCCATATCAGTAGGTGCTTCAGGTCAGATGTCTTCACTTTTGGCAAGCAAGGCTGTGTCATCTGCATACCCCAGGTTTTTAATGAGTCTTTCTCAAATCCTGATGCCATGTTTTACTTAATATGGTCCTGCTTCTCATATTATTTGGGTATAAGTGCTGCCAACTAGCATACAGACTGAATAAAATGAAAGAATACAACCCTGCCACACACTTCTTCCTATTTTAAACCATGTAGTTTCACCTTCTGTTCAAATGACTGCCTCTTGAGAGATTCTGCATGAGCACAGTTAAATGTTCTGGAATTTACATTCTTCATGATGTGATCCACAAATTATTATGATCCACAGAATTAAATGCCTTCACATAGTCAAAAAAAACATGGCTAAACACAGAGAGTACTCAGCCATAAAAAGGAACAGACTACGGATACATACAACATGGATGAAGCTTGAAAGTGGTATGCTAAATGACAGAAGCCTGATACAAAACTACATACTGAATGATTCCACTAAATGAAATTCCAGAAGAAGCAAAATTGTATGTGAGAAAGCAGATCTACTGCTCAGGGCTGGGCTACGAGAGAAAGATCGACTACAAAAGCACACAAAGGAAATTCTGCAGTGTTGGAAATGTCCAATGTCTTGATTGCAGTGGCAATAACAGGATTGTATACATTTGAAGTGTACTTAGCTGTACACTTCAAATGGAAAAAATGTTATGATATACAAATGGTGCTTCAATAAAGCTTATTTAAAACAAAACTGAGGGATGTTTCCTTTTGCTAAGGCTTTTAGTAGCCAATGATTAGAGAAAGGCTTGATAGAAGTCCATCCTAGCACTCTTCAGTGTCCCCATTTCTATACAAATGTTAGCTTTTAATCTGCTGGGCCACCAAAGCATGCATGACATTTCCATGACATAAAGACTGTGTAGAAACATCAAGATGATACCTACCACCAGTGCTCCTGCTTTCAGTCCAGGGTCATATGGAACTCGAAAGCTTTTAGGGAGATTAGAATTCTGCAGGTTTTCAAGCTTTTGCTTAAGTTGTGAAATAACTGTAATTGTCAAAAGGACACAAAAGCAGTATGAGTTGAAGAAATCATCAATATTATCTATAACATTTCCTGAGGCCTAATTTAGTATAACATGAGATACATTTGGTCTGGTGTAAAGCAGGAAAGAAATGGGTAGGTCCCTGACTTTGAGGAACTATTTGAGGTGCAACATAACTTACTATTTGTAGTATAACTATATACAAATACTGCAACAGGAGATATAATTATGTGAATATATATGAAGTAGCACATAGACACCCATACAATAAGGCAAAGAAGGATGCTTTGAGAATGTTGTTGTGTGTCATCGAGTCAGCCCCGACTCATAGCGACCCCTCCTTGGGTCGCTGAGGCAGTATCACTACAGAAGTAGATTGCCCAACCTTCCTTCCGAGGGTGGCTGGTGGGTTTGAACTGGTTAGCAGTCAAGTGCCTTAGGCACTATGCTACCAGAGCTTTGAGAGTAGTGTTAAAGAATTAATACTGTAGTTTTCAATTACAGCCTGACTTCAGGTAAGATGGAGGAATAAGCAGACAAGCTACACAGACCCTCTTCGACAAAGAAAAGAGAAACCAATTGATAGAGATACAGAAGATAATCCTGGAGCCCTAATTTTGAAAGGATGAATATGGAAGTGGATGAGGCACCAATTAGTGGAAAAACCTGAATGAAAAATTGTGTACGGAGAAAGTTGGGGTAGTGGATGGTCAGCTACTCTGACAAGATCAACAGCCTGAAAATTTCCCAGTGGTGTTGGGACTTGAGAATTGACCTAAAGATCAGCCCTGTGTTGCCATGGGCTGTAGGGACAACTGTGCTGGTGGCCTATGAATAGGAAGGGAAATAGCAAGGAGGGAGACAAACTGAGCTGTGGACTCTTGGCTGTCCAGAGGGTGCAGCCATTTTGAATGTTTACAACCGGTGGCCATTTTGGATATTTGAAGTCACCAAAGGTGCAGCCTTTCTAAATCTTTACAAGCTGCAGCCATTTTGGATTTTAAAGTGATAGCATTCTCATTAGGACTCCAGGGACCTAAGAATAGGCACCATTTGCCAAGGATGGCAGGGACATATGGGAGTCTGACAATGGGAAAAGAGACAGGTGGTGAGTGTATAAGTGCTGCCAACTAGCGAAAAGAGGAGCACAGCACAGTACCCTGCTTACGTAGATAACATACAAAGAAATCAAAAATCATGGGCAAGTCACTCCAACATACAATCACCAATTAAATATAAACACAAAAACATCACAATGTCTTGGAGACAACAGAGCATCATAGTGCACAGAAAGAAGCAAAATAAAGCAGGAGAAACAAGGGACAGGACATAGACCAAAAACACATCCCTGAGGAAGATGCAGCATTGGAACTCCCTGGTAAGGAATTCAAAAGAATTATGTTTAAGTACTTTCAATGAATTGAGAGATAAATTAAGGAAAACCCTGACAAAATTGAGGAACACACAGAGAAAACCTTAGAACAATTTTGAAAGACAATACAAGAACAAAATGACAAAATAAATGAAAAATCAGAAAAGATACAAAAATCTACAGACAGAAGTCCAGAAGATTAGTACTTAATTTTCAGAAATATATAGCACATTAAAAGGGCAAAGGAGTAGAATTGAATCAATGGAAGACAGAATTAGTGAGACTGAAGACACATACCTCAATATTTCTTTGGAAAGGAATCAACCAGAAAAAAGATCAAAACAAAATGAAGAAAGCCTAAGGTTCATATGGGATACCATTAAAGGAATAACCTACGTGCAATCAGAATTCCAGAACAGGAAGAGACAAACAAAACCATAGAAAAAATTGTCAAAGATTTGTTAGAAGAGAATTTTCCTGGTACGATGAAAGATGAGAATAGATCCATTCAGGGAGTCCAACAAGCCCCAAACAGGACAGACCCCAAAAGAAAATCACCAAGACTCATCAAACTCACCAAAACTAAAGATAAAGAAAGAATCCTGAGAGCAGCATGGGAAAAATGAAAAGTTACTTACAAGGAGCAACCAATAAAACTAAGCTCAGATTTCTCAGCAGAAACCATGCAGGCAAGAAGACAATGGGATGGTATATATAAAATCCTGGAAGAGAAAAATTTCCAACCAAGAATTATATACCTGGCAAAATTGTCCCTCAAATATGATGGTGAAATTAGGACATTTCCAGATAAGCAGAAATTA